TCTCTCTCTCTCTCTCTCTCTCTCTCTCTCTGTGTGTGTGTGTGTGTGTGTGTGTGTGTGTGTGTGTGTGTGTGTGTGTGTGATCCTTTGATGAGAACCACATCGCAGTGTGGAAAGCACAGAGGAATACCACCATGCCGGGGTTTGTCCATGGTGGCTGTGAGGAGAGGATGTTCATCACCCAGCCACATGCAACCACCAGTTCTCCAAGAAATGAAAATTTCTAGCGATCTTGTTCGTACTAAGGCATGGCATGCATTAGGGAGAAAGAGATGCAAATATGTTGTCTGAAATATAGTGAACCAAAGGAAAGAAGGAAAGGAGGGATGGGGGACAGAGAGGAGGCAGGGAGTGACTCAGGCAGGCAGACAGACAGGCAGGAAGGGAGAACGGGGAGGCGGAGAGCAGGCAGCGAGGGAGGATGGAGGACAGAGAGGAGGCAAGGAGTGACACAGGCAGGCATCCAGACAGGCAGGAAGGGAGAATGGGAGGCGAAGAGGAGGCATGGACTCTGCCATGGAGGGAGGATGGAAGAGCGGCATGGGACAGAGGGAAGCAGGGAGGGCAGCAGGGAAGGAAGGAGGGGTGTGCCCCTGTGATGGCTGGGAGGAAGAAAGGAGAGATGGAAGGAAGGATGGAAGGCAAAAGATAAGGAAGGGAGACAGGAGAGTAGAAGGGAAAAGGGAGGGAAAGGAGAGAAGAAGGGTAGAGGGAGGGGAAGGAGAGTAGAAGGGGAGGTGCAGGGGAAAGAGTGTAGAAAGGGAGGGGAAAGGGTTGGGAGGAAAAAGGATGGAATGAGAGGAAGTGAAGATAAGGGAGGTGGGAGAAGGGGTAGGTAACGAAAGTGGAGGGGAGGGGAGGGAAGAGAACGGAATGGATGGGCAGGGACAGGAAAAGAGAGGAAAAGAAAGGAAAAGAAAAAGGTTTTGGCGTTTGAAGTCTTTGAATTGTCTCTGTCCGGCGTCCGCGTCCCTTTCCAGAAAGTATATGGATCAGTGGTAGAGAGAAGTGCAATGTGGCCATTCGAGACTACCGTCTTCCCCCGAACATTATGCATACGATGTTGGTCATGTTTTTTCGATTTTGGTTGGGGGGGAGGGGGGAAACGGGGGGAGGGAGGGGGTGTCATGTTCTTTTCCTCTCTGTTGTTTTCCCCCATCCCGGAACGGGTCCACTTGTTATCCCTACACTTATAGAAATCGCTATTCGGTACGTGAGATATTGGCCGATCCGGGCCACCCGCAGTCTACCGGCCGGCGGTCCGGATTTCCGCGCGATCTTAAGACTTCAAAACTTCAAGATCGCACGGCGATCCAGACCGTCCGCTTTGCCGGACGGCCTCGATCGTCGCGCGATCGTAATGTCTTAAACCACCAGTACCTCGCCCTGCTTGGAAAATCTGACGCGGCCGTTAACGCGCCGCGTCGGGCGGGGTACCCACCCGACCGGCAACCGGTAGTCCCAAAAAAAAAAAAAAAAAAAAAAAAAAAAAAAAAAA